TTTAACTAAATTATGAGTGGTTTAATAATAGTATATATATTGCTGGAAATTTGTGTAGAGAGGATTTTAATACTCTTTTATTATTTTTAAATTGTAGGAGACTTCGAAGTGAGTGATTTATATTAGTCATGGCGATATTAAGACCGTATTCAAGGTACGTTCACGTACTTAGCTTATTTTTGGTGATGTAGTAGCATGCTAGACGTGACTAATTGATTACAAGTAGTATCATGCTAGATTTGGAATGGAAATTGTGATTTGGTTTATATTGGTGATTGAATTATGAAGCATGATTTATTTGTGATGGATTAATGATTGGAAAATAATAGTTTGGAATGTTAAATATGAACCACACTTTTTATTTATGACATGATAGAAAACATGTATAATTAAACTAAATGTTAATTTTGATTGGAATATTAAAAGGGATTTCTATTATGGTTCATATACTTTTTATTGATGCTATACGCATGAGAAAGGAGCTATGTAAGTGTCTATGGACACGAGGAATAAATTGTATGTTGGTGCCTCAGTGCACTAAAGGTGTTTTTAACACCGAGGGATAGGATTTTTGGCGCATTAATTAAACGTTTAAGGTGTCTTTGACACCGAGGTAGATTTAAAAAGGGTTCAACATTAAATATTATGTGGTCATTAATTATTCAAGAATTAAATTAAAGTGTTTAATTGTTTGAATAATCATGATGTTTGATGTTACTATGAATTGAGAGTCATCACAAAGTTTAATAAATTGTAAAAAACGTAAAGTGAAAGAGATTACGCACCAAAACTCTTGGGACGTATATACCTTTAGTATGAAAATATGGGGGGAGTTATGCGACTTTATATTTGACCATAACTTCTACTGGGAGTACAGGACGCTGTATTTTCCTTTATTTATTATGCGCAGGAATTCCGCCACTTACGAGTGGTTCTTTTATACTGGCACGGTTAGCTCTTGTGTTAGTACCCTTTATTGGGGCAGATTTAGGGGAAACTCGTTCGATGCGTAATCAAAACTAAATAAATTATTTAGTCACTTAGCTGAAAAGTTTTGTTGTATGTTGTGTGCTTGAAAGTAGGTGCAACAAGGTAAGTTGTATGTTGATAGGTAAATGCATGTTAGTGTGTTTAAATACGCTTATATACTCAGCTTTGCTGATTGTGTGTGTTTATGTGTTTGTTGGCCTTGTCTTTACCTTAGCCCTATGATGACCCATTTTTAATGGAGAGTAGTGGAAACAAGTAAAGAGAAGCTAAGCATATTCATGATGGGCATGAGTGAAAAACGAATCATGCTAGTTTCCATAAGATTACGATGTGTTATTGCTTTTAATTATATTATGATATTTCTATTGCGAGACTAACGTAAAGGTTTTTAATTGGATTGGTTTTTTGTTAATGGCCTACGATGGTTCTAAGTTGTAGGTTTGACTTTATTTTACTTTAGTTTTACTTTACTTTCGTGAGTTGACTTTTTAAGTTGAGTCGTTTTAAAATATTTTAAAGGAGAGTCTTCCGTTGTGTGTCTTTGATAGTTGCCTTAGCCGTTTTAACGGTGGCGGTGATATCTTGGATTGCCCTAAATAAAGGAATTTCTAGGGTGTTACAAGTACTAAACGTGCATTTAATTTTGTATGTGTTCATTTTTTTTATTAGTGAATATTAATTTTTTTATTACGTGTTGATATTTTTTTTATTTAGGCCCCATTCGCTTCACCTTATTTTTGCTGAACTGGATTTTTTTTTACTAAAACAAAATTATATTTCCTGAAGTTAAATTATTTTTACTGAACTTAAAATAATTTTACTGAACTGAAATTATTTTACGTGTTCATATTTATTTATTAAATGTTCATTTTAGTGTTAGTGCTACAATCTTAGCTGCATAAAAGTGCAACTAAGACTTATTACAAAAATAAGGTAAAGTGAACGGGGTCTTATGCTTCATAGTACACTATTACATAACTATCGATCCAAAGTTTAGTAACAAACTTTTTGTATTTTTTATTTAACCATCAAAAGTATTCATAATCACAAACTTTCATATGTGGCTAGCCACACAGTGTGGCCAACCACAAATTTTTTAAATTTTTATTTTAAATTCAGCATCACATTCTCTCTCTTCTCTCCTGTTTCGATTAATTCTCTAGATTTTCCCTTTTTTTTTTAGTTTTAGGGTTCCATCTTCATCTGTTCTTTAATTAATTTCCTAATTTAATTTCTAGATTCTCTCTATCCTCTTTTTTTTCAACAAATTCTCCAATTTCCAGATTTTGATTTTTACGGTTCGTAGCTTGGAGGTGCTGAACAAGAGGAGGAACAAGATGAAGTGATAATGGCAGGTCTTGTTAACAATGTATATCATTCACCTCCGAATTTGTCGTCTTGCTCGGTTTGTGTAATTATGAAGTGATAATGGTGTCATTTCATTCGTTGTATTTACTAGCATCACTGTAATGTTGAGGATGAGGTAGGTGTTGGTGTTTTGTTTATGTAATTATGCTTATAATTTTGTCGATTATTGCTAGGGGGGTTACTACTTACTAGGGAATTGCTACTTACTAGGGGCTATTAGAAGAGTTACTAGAGTGGGGTTATTAGAGGGGTTACTTGAGTGGAGTGAGTTACTGAGGGGTAACTAGCTAAAGGGGTTATTTAAGTGGGGTTACTAGAAGGGTTATTGACGTGGCACCTTGCCGCATCGTGTGGTTGGCCGCATCAGAAACTTGCTGATTATTAATTAGGGTAAGTCTTGTATGTGGCTAGTCACACGGTGTGGCCACATTAGTTTATAAGAGTAATCATCATTTATATATATGAGTAACCTCAATTTTTTCATAAGAGTAACCTTATGTTGTCCATAAAATTAACTCAAATTCATTATACAAGTGAATTCAAGTAATTTATAAATAAGTAACTCCATTTGTTCATTCGAGTAACCTCAATTCTTTTGTTTTAAAAAATAAAAGAATAATATCACTTACTAGAGTAACCACTATTTCTCATTTAAGTAACCTACATACGCGTGTTTTCAAAAAAAAAAAAAAAAAACTTACATACGCGTTAAGATAACCCCATTTACTCATCACCGTAATCTCCTATTACTTAATTAATTGTCTTATATGTGATATAAAGTGGCCTCACCATGTGAATTTGTGCATAATTAGATATCTTAACAAACCTCTTCCTTTTTGATAATATCCCTTTTGATAACCCAATTTAAAAAAATCTGTCAAAAATAGTAATAATAAAATTAACAGTAACAAAGTTCCTTGACGGGAAAGTTTTTTCTGATGATGATACGTGTATTATGGGGATAATGATGTGGATTATTTTAATATTTAGATATTGGTTGATAGAACAGTTATCCATAAAGAGCTAAGAATGTTAAAACAGATTCTAGCTAGGAGGATTCTGTGCAAAGATATATAGAATGAATAGAATTTTCTCTTACAATGAACTAATTAAATTCATGAAGACATGGAGCTAAATACACGCATGAAATCTGTAAGAATAAGTTATGGGGTGATATTGTGATAATATCAATCAAGTCAAATATATTATTTGGCAATATTTTTAATACGAGAGTCATGATTTACACGCCTATAAGTACCATAGTTTGTTAATCTCTCAATTAAACATATTAACCATAGAATAATAACTAGTTACATTTTCTCTCAGCTCACAAAATATGGCAATTAAAGAATACCTTCTATCAGTAAGTTTCTTGTTGCTCCTTACTTTGGTTCCATTCACAACCCAGTCGAAACCGAACGCTAACCCTTTCGGCTTCCTAAAGAGCTTAGAAGGTAGCAAGAAGGGCCAAAACGTAGATGGTCTTCACCAGCTTAAAATGTACCTCAGAAAATTTGGGTACCTCAAAAACCATCATGTTTCCCAAAATGAGGTAACTACTAGCTCGACTATTAAAGAGGATAATAAATTATTCGATGAGAGCCTTGAGAAGGCAATCAAATTATACCAAAGGAATTACAGGCTAAATACTACAGGACATTTGGATGGTGCCACAGTAAAACAGATGATGAATCCTCGGTATGTTGTGTTTCAATATTTTTAGAAACTTTAAGGTAACACTAGCTAGCGTTAGCGTCACTTACTTTCATATTAATAGAAATTAAAGATCATATTCAATTGTAACTGCATGTATGTGGTAATATGGGATCTTTTACCAAAACGGTTAGTTTGACAAAAGTATTTACTAAAATAGCTAATTATAAATTTTAATTTCCAAACTAACTAATTTATTAACTTGGAAGGAATTTTTTTTGCGGAATTATTCCCAAGCAAGCCATAATTGTAATTTCGCGGAATTATTTCTGTATTTTCCTTGTAACGTTTTAATTTATGCGTTCTCTATACATTTACTTTGATGAATTAACTTGGATGATTCATATATATACCGTAGATGTGGGTGTCCGGACATTGTCAAAGGTAGGAATACAATGCAACACAAACACAACAAAACATCCTTGTATGTAATTAAAGGGAGTAAGTGGCCATCCTCAAAGTACGAACTAACGTTCAAAATCCTGTCCAAGACCCTCGTACCCGGAGCCGGGAACATGACAGTCATGGTAACTGCTTCATTGAACACATGGAGACAGTATAGCCCGTTTATGTTTCAGGAAGTGCCCGAGGACAGCAAGTCCGATTTGGTTTTCGGGTTTTTCAATGGCGATCACGGGGATGGACGCCCGTTTGACGGTCCAAAAGGAATACTGGCTCATGCATTTTATCCTCAAGATGGGCGGTCACATTATGATGCAACGGAGGATTGGAGCGAAGACCCTGGACCAGATCAATTTGATCTATACTCCGTTCCGCTACATGAAATCGGTCACCTTCTCGGACTTGCCCATAGTGCAGACCCTAGTGCTGTGATGTATCCGACTATTAATCCTGGCGAAAGGAAGAGAGGGCTCCAACCAGACGACATTCAAGGCATTCAAGCCATATATGGCCCAATCTAAAAGGAGTCGGTGCTTATATATTTCCAATATGCATGCCAAAGAACAAATGACGACTAATAAGGTCTAGATAAACATGCATGTGGCATTGTAAATATTTGGAGATGAATTAGTGTTATCAAAAACGTTGCAATCAACATGTATATATCATGCAATGTCTCTTATAGACACACCCTAAGTGCTTTACCATTGTTTTTCTTATAAAAAAAAATAGCAAGAGAAAATATAAGTTTATTGACATTGTTTTATATCAATAAAGACAATAATTTAAGAGCAAATAGCTATTGTAGTACTTTGTATATGCCTTCATTTTCATTACACCATTCTTTGTTCATTTTATATTTGTATACTACAAAAATAATAACCATAATGAGGAAACGATTTTAAAAACTGCTGCTAGAGTACCTAGCTTTCATTCACACATCTAAGTGTACTGAGTACATATTATATTGATCATATCATTCCAAAATTAGAGTACTTTAAAGAGTCAAACCCGATTTTTTCAACTTGGTTAGTAATGACAATAACAAAATCAAAACACGAAAATAAGCTTATCCAAATTATAAAAAATAAAAAAAAAAAAAAAAAAAAAAAAAAAAAAAAAACCTAAATTTCACTACCAGATTAAAAATATAGCAAAATCATTAAATTTCTCCTAATTTCTCTTCTTCTTCTTGTTACTCTTAGTAGTTTGGCAATTGCAATCAAACATAGTTTCATAATCACTACTTCCCATACACCCTAACTTTCTCTTCATTCCCTTCCAAAAACCCACCTTCTTTTTACCTTTTTTCACACAACAATTCCTTTGACATATTTCCTTAATCTCTTGCCTCTCTTCATCATCATCATTATCATCCCACTCATCTTCCCCGATTTGCTTAATCTCTTCGCTTATTCGCCTTTGGCTTCCTTCTTCTACATTACTAGTACTATTACTACAACCCCCTCCTACAGCTTTACTTATGTTATCCCTTAGTTGAAGCTGAGACACAAACAAGACTTGTACAACCACTCTCAATGGCAACCTTCGATTTAAGGCCGCATGATTACATGCTTGTGATGACATCTTTTGAAAGTCCAAAACCCTACAAACTTCTTCCCTTTCTAACTCACTCAACTCCGTGTTCTTATCCAAGTACGCGTCCACTGCCCTATAAATCCCATCCGAGTAACGGTAAGTCCCTACATTTGATGTCGAACTTGCCATCTCCGCCACCTCAGTAAAACTCTTAGCATCCATATTCCTCTTCTTAGCTACCTCCAACAAGTACTCTTCCATAAGGTCCGCCACTGCCACCAAACTCGATGAATCAGGGTCCGTAAAATTCTCATAAAACCCCTTTAGTACCCTTTTAAGGCTCTCTATATCGAGGTCTAAGGCAAGGAGATCCTCTGGTGTAGCGCGATACAACTCCTTACCTATTCGAATTTCCAAGGAAGCCACGCAATCTGAGCTTGCTTTTAAGGATGTTGCCAATTCATGCATCTCGAACAAGAGAGTGTAAGGGTAGAGAGGATATTTATTACTAATTGTACAAGTAGGCAAAAGTCTCTCTATTAACTCAATTGCTTCACTATCATCAGCATGTTTCTTGAGGTAACGAAATAAGGACCCGGCGATGTTCTCTTGTGGAACCTGTCGTTGTACCATCGTCTCGACGATTGACTTGTACATCTTAACCGGCAATGAGGTTATATCTTCTGTTGAGGTTGAAGTATCAGAATCTGATGAAGCAGTAGAATGATCACCTTCAGAAAAGAGCTTCCTCCTTGTTACATTACTATTACTACTAATGGGCCTGTTGTTAATTATATTGTTGGTGTACTCACTCATAATGGGCTGGGCCAGGATATTTGGGTCGGATAAAACATGGGCTGTGAGGGCCTCTATACAAAAATCCAAAAGCCCAATCTCAACGGCCTGCTGGAAAGTGGGCCCCTGTGATGCTCTTAAAGATCTTATAGTTTGGTCCCAACTTGGAAGAATTTTTTGTTTCAAGAATAAAATGGCATTGTTGAGCAAATTGTTAGGGCAGTGAGTTTCGGTCATCTTGAGATGGTTAGAGAGGCAAATGAGGGATATGATGTTGTCACTCGTCATTTCGACGTGGAGTCCATGGCAAAATCTTGCTATGAGCTCTAAGGCCTCGGGTTCTGATGGTATTTCGTTGAAGAAGACAGAGAGGTCTTCAAAGGGGTTGTTGTCGAGTAAGGAAGCTATTGTGGCCGATTTTTTGGCTAGAAGTCCCTGAAAATAGTCAAAAATAATTCACAATAATTTTTCAAATAATGAGTTATTTCATTTAATTTTATATCAAAAAACATGGTGAAGAATGCTTACTTTGTCCAACTTGAAGGGGGTATTACACACTAATAGACGGTTATTTGGTGGCATTGCATGTTTGGAACACCTGAAAATTGATCATGTAAAATTGATTAATTTCATGTTATTGTAGTTTCATTATTCTAGATTTTAGAATATAATGAAAAAAAAAAAAAATTTATAATACCTAGATGATGAATCTTTGGTTCTACCTAGAGTCATCTTGTATACTCTATGTAACTTGTGCTGTTGTGCACCCTTGAAGCTGATTGTGCTGCTGATTCGTTATGATCATCAAATTTTTTGAAACTATCCTTTCTCAAACAAAAAACAAGCCATTATTGTTATTTTTTTTTTTTCATAAACATGATTAGAACATATAAAAAAATAGTCTATTGAGAATTTGAGATGAATCAGTTACAAGGTAATTTAACTAGTAATGGTAAAGGCGTCATGTCGCCATCAACATATAAATATATAATCTTATTCACATTTGAGAAAGAGAAACATATATATAATCCTCCCAAATTAAAAACCCTACAATATTGAACAAAATTAATTAGTTAATTGATTAGTACTAAAACCATATCCCTGATTTGTTAACTCAAATAGTTTTTTTCCCATCAAATGCACCTCCATTAATGTGTAAATCAACTTATAATTTTATATTTCATCCATTCATTTCGATTATCACAATTACTAGTAATCGGAATTGCACTTTACTATCTTTGGTTGTATTTTAATAAATTTCTTTTTGAAAGAGAACAATATTAAAATTAAATGCTTTAAAAAAAATATATATTAAAATCAAATCGATCATATTCATAAATGCTCTACATCAATTTATAAATCACAAAACAAAATGATCAAACATATAAGTGAACAGTGTAAAAGTTCAAATTATTCCATAAACAAATGACAAATAAAATACAATTTAGATATACGACATTAGAAAATTAAAATGCTAAAAGTATTCATTTTGTTTGGTACAAGTATTCATTAAATTAACACAATTGTAAAATGTTTGGGAAAGTATAAGCAAATTAATTGGGATGGCTATACATACCTTAAAATGGAAACGATAAATTGCTGAATAATATTATTGTGGAGAGAGAAAGGGCAGTTTTTCTTGCGTTAATGAGTGATTATGGCTGCCTGCTACAGTAATGCTAATAACCTTTGAGTATAGTGGGAGAGAGATACCAGCCGCTGGCACTTTTCTTGTTACATAGAATTAGGAAGTGGTTGTTACCTAGCCAATTTTAACGTTTGAACTTTGAATTTGTTGCTATGAAATTTTCATTTTAACTCTCCTTTTTTGTCCCTAAATATATTTCAAATAAACTCCTTTATTTTATTTATTTTTTTGGAAAATTTATTTTTAAAAAAAAAGACTTTTTAAATGCAGCAATTTGCGAAAAAAAAATCTTTTAAAAGCTTTATCATATGAAAAAACCCAAATTTTAAAGTTAATTTTTTTTAAAAAACAAACTGTACTTCTAATTCACTTAATTAACTTCTAATTTCTTCTAATCACCCTCTACTACTCACCTAACCGTTTAATAATTAAATTAATTTATATTTTAAAATAAAAAACAAAAACCACCACCTCCACCACCCGCTATCCACCCCCTCCATTTCCCCTTCCCTCAGTAGCAGCCCCTCCATAAATTGACCGCCACCTTGAAACCTTCACCCCGGCAACCCACCTCAACCCTCCTCCCTACACTCTAACCCTGACAATCCACTTACTCACTACCTCAACCACGAAAACCTCTACTGCAAGGAGAGAGAATTTTTACATAAAAATGAAAGATAAATTTCTGCCATGAATGAACAATTTCTCAAGCTTCCACACAATCCTATTTTCTACCAGATTCTCACAAAGCTGCCCTCCCACCTCAAAACCCCAAAAATCAACCCAACCACTATTCCAAAAATCCAACCACTCTGAAATCCCCAAAAGTTGACAACCTACACGAGTGATTGAAAATGGTGAGTGCGACGGCAGTTGCGGTGGGAATAGGTGTGTTGAAATTTTTTTTATGGAGGCGGATGCACGATGCTCCGTGCATCTGTTTTCTCTTTAAAAACGTGGAATGAACATTCCGTTGTTCAGTAAAGAACATACATGTGTTATGTAAAGAACATATAGTTATTTCATAAAGAACATCACATATAGTTGTATTGTAATGAACATATAGTTGTTTTTATAAAGAACATATACCTATTTTGTAAAAAAAAACATCCACCTTCATGTTCTTTATATGTATATCTAAAGAACATCCGAAATATTAATTAAAAACATGATAATTAAAGGTGATCAATTTTGGCACGACCCAACCTGGCCCGGCCCGATCCAGCCCGAAAATAAGGCGGGTTTAGACAAAGCTAAAAATGCATTTTTAGTTAAAAAAATCCAAACTCGGCCCGAAAAAAACTCGAAAAGCCCACTACATTTTCCCGGTTTGACATGAGATATTATGTTAAGGCCCAGCCCGACCCGAATTTTTTATCAACTCTAATGATGATATATTGTAGTGAATATTATTTTTATTCAACCACCATAATCTAAAGACAAAATTCAAAGAATATTTCAAAATAAACTATTCACATATGTCACAAATAAAAGTACATTATTATGACAATCAAAGAACATTATTTAGCTGCACATTATGTTCATTACAATTTTATAACATGTTCTTTGCACTTTAACTGAATGTTCTTTACATTTCTATACAATGTTCTTTGCAATTCTATAATATGTTCTTTGCACTTAAACGAAATGTTCTTTATATTTCTATGCAATGTTCTTTCCGCCTTTTTTTTTGGAAGAGATGCACCATGTGGATCGTGCATCCGCCTGCACGAACCATGCATTGTAGGTGTGTTTTGATATCAATTAACAACTAATTAGACATTTCGATGAAAGACAGTGGTGCAAATGCAGTAACAGTTGGGTTTAGGGGGTTTATGCGGTGATTGATTTTTGGGGATTTTGCGGTGGTCGATTTTTGGGGGTTTCTTGGTGGTTGGGTGGTCAATTTTAGGGGCTTAGGTGGGGGTACAGTCTTCAGATGAGGATTGATAGCCGTGGCCCGTGGGGTTGTAGATGGGGGGTCCGGTGGTACTGCTAGGGGAGGGGGAAAGGGAAGAGGTGGGTTGTTGGTGGTGGGGGTGGTGGTTTTTGTTTTTTGTTTTTAATTTATAAATTAACTTAATTATTAAATGGTTATGTTATGTCTTATGTTTAGAGGCTAATTAAAGGTTAATTAAGAAAATTAAAAGTACTAGGTTCTCTTTAATAATAAAAAAAAAAATCACAATCGGATTTTCTTTTGCAAAAAAGCTATATATATTAGATTTTCTTTTGCCAAAAAGGTTTTAAAAAGTTTTTTTTTCACAAAATGGTGTTTTTAAAAGTTTTTTTTGACAAATTATCCTTTTTTTAACAAATGCAATGATATAATCCAACTAAGGCTGTAACTATTATCTATCTATCTATCTTATCGAACGTACTATGAGTATATGAGTATGTCACTAGACAATACAACTGTATCACATTCTCAAGGGGCTCTTAATTCGAAAGCAAGTCTCGAAAGTACGGCGACCTCCAACGGAAGTCCACCCACAACCCGACCACCGACAAGGGTCTAATGCCTTGGAGTTAGCAAGGCCCGACCAAAGCCCGGGTAATAAATGTGTTCAAAGGTTTTCACAATGGTGATGACTTTTTCAACACTTACTCAAATGCCTTTCACAATACCCCAACTTTGGTATTTATAGGGAAAGGCATGAGTATGAAAATCTCTCCCATCAATGTTGGACATAATTTGATTTTTCCATTTTATTTTAAAGCTAAAATAAAATTATTAATCAAACTAGTAATAAATCAACAAGTGTCAAGCTCACATGAGGGAGTAGGTGAGGACCGTTTGGAGATGGGGGGGCAAACTTGCTCCCCACTCCCTCTCCCAAAACCGCCCAACACAACACCCAATCCCTAATGAGCACGCACCACGTGGCAGGCCACTTGGGCACCAAGGCACCCCATATGGGCTGCTAGCGCTGCTGCTTGTGTCTCGGCCCAGCACGCCTTGCACCAAATAGTGTGGGCTGCTGCTAGCTTCCTCGGCCAGCATGCCCTTGCACTTACGTGCGGGCTGCTGCTGCTGATGTGTCTATTTTATATAGTATTTTACCCCCGTCCCTTGGTCATAATTAGTAGTGTTTTTGGCTCATTAGAGCCACTTTTATTACTAATTGGTGCTTTCTAGTGTTTTCGTAGATTTGGTTGACTTTGCAGGGATTTACACTTTTGAAGTATTTTCCCGAGATATTTTGGAGCAATTACGAGCATTGGAGAAGCACGACCAGAGTTTATAGCCCAGGGCCGGTGAGAGCCATCGAACTGGTGATTAAGGGCTCGGTATAGGTGATACCGGGGCATTTGGACCGAGTATTCAAGACCGGAAGAGGAAATCCAGATTGGCCCAAAGAATTGGAGCCTAATCGAAGTCCAAATAGTGGCCCAAATGAGCCGCCCGGCCAAAAAGGCTGGCGCCCGGAGGCGCACCCGGCCGGGCGGGAGAAGCTTAGGCTGGCGCCCGGTGACGCGCCCGGCCGGGCGCTAGATTAGTATTAGGAACAAAAAAAGGCGCCCCCGATCGGGCGCGTGTATTTCTTAGTAGACGATTAGCGTCATTTTAATTTGTTTTAGTTTAGGATTTTGTACGGAGTATAAATACTCCTCTGTAATACGTTTTTGGGATTTCTCTTCTTCCTCTTCTTCTCCTTTTTACTCTTTTTTTACTCTCTTAATTATTCTCTTAGATTTCTTTTCTCTTAAACCTTTGTTCTTAATTCTACTCTTAATTCCAGATTTATTTTGGTAACGATTTCTCTTCCCTTAATCTTAGTTGTTTATTTTATTCCTTTCATCATGATTTATTTTATTACTTTGATTAGTTTAGATTTTACCATGTGTGAGTAGTTTTATTTCTATGGTTTATGGGGATCTAATAAATAATATGACGGGGTAATTTGTTGTTGTTAATTATCAATGCTAGATTTATTTCCTATTGATTGATTTAATGCTTTGTGATTAGATTAGGCCTATCTTTTATGCATGAGTTTGACAATATTGATTCAAGATTCGAGAGATGAGAATTAATATTTAGGTCTAGTTTCAATAGGCAGATTAATTTATAAATGGTTAAGTC